TCTTCCATCAGCTATGGCAGAGCAATTGCGGCCATTCCACTATCTCTTGATGTCTCTGATTGCATTTTCTGGAGGGCTACATCAGATGGTAGATTTACTACTAAATCAACATGGCAGGACTTAATACCAGTTGATGTCATTATCCAGAGGAGGATCGGCAGTCAATTAGCTTCTCGATACCAGTGTTGTTCAGAGATTGAGACCATCACGCATGTTTTTACCGGTAGTAGTATTTCAAATCATGTTTGGCAACATTTTGGGGCTTTATTTCAGATTCCCACGAGTGCTGGAGAGAGTGTCGACAGAGATTTCTGAGATGGAGGTATTCTAGTCAGTTTGCAAGGACCGGGCACATTCTCATCATTATTTCTCTATTGATTGTCTGGTTTCTTTGGACTGAGAGGAATAATGCAAAGCACGAGAACATACGTATGAGTTCGAGACGTATTATCTGGGGAGTTTACCGTATGGCATCCTTTCTCCATATTGGTAGACTATTTCGACCGTTACATTGGCGTAATGACTTGCAGCTTACTATACTTTTTGGTATTTCTTTAACTCTCCCCCTTCTCCTCCCCCTATCATGGTTTGGTGGCGCACTCCATCATTTGGATCTGTCAAGATCAACACCGATGGTTGTGTTAAGGATGGGTTTGCGAGTGGGGGAAGCATCATCAGGGACTACGCAGGGAATTGTATCCGGGCTTTCTCAGCATCATATGGGCAATGCATGATCTTAGAGGCGGAACTTAGGGCTATTCGTGATGGATTACTACTGGCTCGAGATCTTGGTTTATCAGACATATGGGTTGAGGCTGACTCCAGTGTGGCAATTCACTGTATCATTAGAGGTGGTGGACCTTGGGCCATCCAGGGCATCATCCGACAGATTGCAGACATCATTTCCTTTGACAGAGATACGGTATCCCACATATTCAAATAAGGGAATCAAGTTCCGGATGCACTTGCTACCGAGGGATGGCATCATCGTAGATATCAGGAATATGGACCAGCTAACTTACCACGCCAAATTAGGGCGCTTGTTCAGATTGACAGGTATGGCTTGCCCAGCTTCAGAGTTTAAGTTTGGGTTTAGGTATTCGTCTCTTGCCTTTACTTCTTTTTTTTGCTTACATTTGCACTTCTTGTAAGGAAAGTAGTACTTTCTTTTTTATTGCTTTACTTTACTTTTGCTGTAAGGAAAGTAGTACTTCCTCTTTTATCACTTTCCTTTATTCTTGCTATAAGGGAAGTTGTACTTCCTTTTTAATTGTTTTTATTTACTTCTGATGTAAGGGAAGTAGTACTTCCTCATTTATTTCTTATTTTCAGCTGTAACCACGGTATTCTTCCGCCACAAGTGAAGATATATTAATAA